AATTCATGTACACCCTATTTATGGCAATTGCTCCCAACCTTCCTACAAAAAACGCATGCACAACAGTTCAGATACACCCATTTTTTTTAATAATTGTCCCTAACCCTCCTAGGAAAAAAATACGCTGACCACCATAATGGGTTGAAAATTTGATGCCTTTTTGTGTCGTGCACGCCGAGCTTAGAACTATCAGGGCGATTTCAACCCGGAAATCACTCGAGCACGAACGATTTTTCAACCCAAGTTGGAAAATCTCAAGCAAGGTTGAGTTCAACCCGCAGGTTGACGCTGGGTTGAATATTTGCGAGTATGAACAGTCGCCAAGTTTCTATACCATGTGTGCAATCCAGAGATTTGTCTAGTGTGGAAACACCTTGAAAACGCTACAAAGTGATCTTAAAATCATTAAAAGAACATTTTTAAAAGAAACCACCAACGACCTTTGTGGGCATAGAGAAACTGGAGTCTCTTCCACTCCTCGTCTGACGTTAAGGACCTTGGTTTTTCCTGTACAACATGCAAGTTCAGTGTGTAAAACCGACTGGAAAATACTGGTCTTTTAATTCACATTTCTTTCGTCAGAGAGATTTGTCTCGCAAAACAGCCAAACCGCCTATGGATTACCACTCGAGGTTCTGGCCGTAAGCTCTCCCCGTCTCGGCAATTTAGTAATGAACCACCCCTGCAATCCGGCCCTGCAGACAACTCTAGCGGGTTAAGGTTACCTATTTTCGGAATTGGGCAAATATGAAAAGATCCGCGCAGCACGGAGGAGGGAAAAAACTTTAAACATTTCACAAACCCTGGATTAACATACCTGCAAACTCTGGGGACGTATCACTACAATCAGGGATCACTGGGTCGATTTCAGTTTGTTGTGTCCGTAAGCGATCGAGACCGGAGACCGATCTTACTCGAGTTACAGCTCGTTCGTAAACGCGCCGTCTTCAGTTTCAGGTAACAGGTAGACGCCGGAAGAAAAGACAGAGAGAGAGAGAGAGAGACTTGCCGATATTGCCGCCGGGAAATGCTGCAAATTAGCGGCGCTTGTGAACCGGCGAGGCACATCAAACGATTCGCAACGCGGCTCCGGCGGAGGCTGTGTTTGATCGGGTGTTGGCCTATAAAGTTTTACAAACGTGGAGTATGGGCTCTTCAAAGGATTTGCAGTACTTGGAAAAGAGTCCACGTTTTCTTCAGTTTGAGAACAATTTTCAATCAGAACTGTTCATATTGAAAAACACTGTCTGCAGCCAACACCGAAGATATCAACTTCTACAATCACGAAAAAAAACAACAAAATGATCCAAACCGTCGGCTGCGACATTATTAGCCAACATAAAAGTACGCCGGTGCTGTCTTGTAGTGAATTTATCAACCGGGGGGGGAGCGGACTTCAAGGACCTGTAAGTCACAGAAGAACTCAAACATCGCACTTTGTGCTCTAGAAGAAAATTGACCAAGTAAGATTTCCTGCTACTTCAAGCAGGGGCGTAGCGACTCGGGTGTGTTTGTGGGGGAGGGGGTGCGGCACCCTCGCCCAATAATTCATTCCAGTCGGCAAATGAATCCACGAGTTATATTGTTCATAAACAATACGCGTTGGCCGTCGGCATTTCCCCTGAAGCATGAAAAGTAGTGTACCACGAATCGCTTTGTGAATTTTACACGACACGAGGTTTGCGAACAAGTTACAAGTCAGCCAATTGACTCTGGCACAACCCCCCCAAGAAAATGCCTTCGCTACAAAAAGCTGCAGCTACAGGCCAAAATCTTAGAATGGAGCGTTTAATTGCATGAATGTTCTCCGTCCTTGTCCCATTCAATGCGACCGCTCAGTACCCCTCCCATTAATGTCTGAATTTCCACTTAAAATAAGTATCAGCCAGGAACCAACGACAAACACATTAATTAATTACCACTACCTTTTGGCTGGTAACCGGTATCAAAGGACCAGAGCTATTTCTTCTCAGTGAAGTGTGTGGTAATAAACTCCGCTATGTCTGGTCGGGGACTCGTCACAACCAAGCCTCCTTTTGGCACATAGTTTTGGTGAGGGGCATATATAACTCTGACCGACTAATAGGCTATGTCAATTACACCAGTACGTTGCTACTGTGACGTCACCAGCAACAGGCCCTTGGCTTGAATGTGTGAGCCCTCAACATGGCGTACATCATCCGAATACTGCACGGACTCGTCCACGATAACGTCGTTCATATCCATTCGTCAACATGCCGACTTAGTTCTAACTGAGCGGCGGGTAAGGCAAGGGGTTCATTCATCATTTCATGTCATATCTTGATTCGCATCAAGTTCAAGCTTTTTACCAAATGTCAAAGGAATTTCAAAACTCCCACTCCCCCCCCAAAAAAAAACCTCCTAAAACTCTTCATCTTCAAGACATGCGTTTCAACCACGTCTATTTCTTGTCAGTGAAAGTGCTTGTTTACGTTAGGTTCGAGTCTTGGATAGGAAGAAACCATAAAAAGGTTTTAAAACGACATGCAGTCTCATATTAGAAAGAAAAAAAACTGAATGTAATTTTTGTTTCACCTTATACTCATTAATAGCTATTTGCTCCATTTCCCTGAGAACAATCTTGGCCTCGTCACACTTGGGTTGCAACCCTTCCCGCGCGCGCGCCAATCCGGAACTCATTTTCCTCGGCCAGCTAGCGCGCCAAGCGAAACGCCCAGACGATGGCCCCATGGAATATATGTATAAAAGGGGGAGCCCTGTCAATTACTGTCTCGTGCACGGCAGCGCAGAACCCCCCCCCCTCTTCCTTGCCAAAATTGGCCGGGTTACGATGCAGATGATGGATTCATGCGAATGCCGGGCATTTCGCCCCTGATGGTAATTGTCCCTACTCGGTCGGTCATTAAAACGCCATCTTGTTTTTCGCCGGGCAGACTCGAGTCCCTCTTGGCCGCACGCATTCGATCGTCGGCGTGGCCCCTGGGTTGAGCTGCGCCGCAAATCGCACGGTGAAAAGTTTCTCGTACCAAACCATAATTATAGCTGCGGCTTTGCTGGGAATTACAGTATATATTTATCAAGCATATAGCGAGACAGTTCATACGAGTCAACCCCCCAGCGAATTCAACTTTATAAAAAAGGCCAGGAGGCACCATGGTACTCTTCCTTGCTTTCACCATTAACCCTGGTTGGAATCCCTCCACAGCAGACATATATTTAACCCACACCCTCTTATGGATTCAACCTACATCGTCTTCTCTCAGCATTGGCTAGTTATAACACCACAGACACTTTTGCGTGAATCCCCGGATGGTTACCATTGAAAGAAAAACATTCATAACTCCTTCTGACGCCTCTTTATCGCACGCCGTTTTGCGTTTTAATGCCACTGCCTCAAAGCCGCCTCAAATTTTCGACTTGAAATTTTTAACAAGACCAGAATTTTTTTACTAACTTTAGTATAGGTAGATACTACCAGCCTTACAATATAATGTTCCCACGCTGTTCATACATGTCAGCCAATCTCAAGTACTTTACGCCTCCTGTTTCCCAACGGTGACACGGTGATTTTTTTTTTACGGGAGGGGGAGGTAAATTGGAAGAAAAGAAAAGAACTATATCTATTTCTATAGGTAATGAGGTTTTAAAAGATTCAACGGACTTATTTATGCACACTACTAGTACTCTTTAAAAGTTTTGGTCTTTTCATTTGAAACAAATACCACTCGACCTCTCTTGCAGTTAGGGGACCTCTCTTGCAGTTAGGGGGCCTATATTTTAAACTGATTAATAATTTTTTAACTAGTTAAACAATATTTTTAATTAGTTTACAATTTTTTAACTAGTTAACAATATTTTTTAACTAGTTAACAATATTTCTAACCTGTTAAAACTTACATGACTGCTCACTAAAGCGGTATTTTAAAGGTGCCAAAACAGACTTTCTACTAGCCTACCCTGTTTTTAGATGCCTATTAAGAGGAAACAGAGTTTTTTTTGGCCTTGATTACAAGGCAGAAGAGGTGCTGACAAATGTCCACAAAGAGGATCGCTGAAATCAAGTGAGACAAAAATCAAAGGCTTCGGCTCAGAGAGGTTTGGAATACCGCACATGGTCGACACGATTACTGCCCGGGAACGCGCGCTATGCCATCCTGCTAAATTCCCCACGTGTTCTGGACATTCTTTTCCCACGGTTGTCCGTGGCTCGCGAGAAGACATAAAATGCCGAACGATCAGTGCTCGACGGAAACGCAACGGCCGGGGCTGTGTCGCCACTCAACACTGCCCCCCAAAAGAAATTGACGCGGTATTCCAAACTTGAAAGCTTGAGGTTTCCGGGAATGATGGATCTGGGATTCTGGGGGGGCGAAGTTCCCTAGTATGAGCGTGCTAAAGTGCGTGGGATCGGTGACAAACAGATAAATAGATCGCCAGACTGGGCACTATTACGAATTCAACATTTTAGCACAACGACCGATCGCTTTAAACCCACCACTTATATATCCAACACGACCTTTATGTGAGGTACCAGGTTCCCCAGTGGTACCATGGTTTCCCGCCGGCAATTACCTGTACGGGGCGTGGAAGCATGTTAGTTTCGAGGTGGGCATAAAGTAGGTCTAAGTATTTTCGTGATCTTTTCCATTCATCCGGCAAAATGTCGACGTCAGCTACGGGTAAAACTGTCCACACGAATGTAATTCTGCGGGGAATCTAAAAGTCCACGCTGTTGTGTCGGTGAAAGAAAGTTGAACAATGTTGTTATTCAACCCGACCACTGATTGTTGGACTTAAGTAAAGTTTTATCAACTTCTGGGAGGGATATGCCGAAGAATTGAAGGCAGGTGATATTTTAACCATCGAGGAATTAAAATGTATTTTCATTCCTTCATCTTTTAACCAAGTTCCATACAAAAATGAGCAAATTCGTTTACTTTTTAAAAAAAAAAGAAATAAAACTTAATTAGGCCTGTAATATGTTATCATAAATGGTTTACAAAGACAAAGGAGCTCACCTGACTCCATTCCGTACGAAGTGATCTCCGTTGAAAGCTGCTGCGAGTGACCGTGGGAGTATCCGGACGGCCATCCTTCGCTGCCCTTGGTGAAGTCGCACTGCCCCGGCATCGCCGGCAACCTGCCAGACCGGACCGACGGCTGGATGAGCAGCGAGCTGTACCGGGGATTGAAGGCGCTGCCGGCGCCCGACGACATCCCGTAGCTCAGATCGTGCAAGCCGGACCGGTGGTGGTGACTGTAGGAACCCTGCGAGACGAAAGGGTAGTGCCAGGGGTCGGGCTGGTGGTGCACCGGCCGGTGGTGGAGCGGGGAGGGGTAAGGGTCGGTGAAGAGCGGCTCGTGGTGGCCCGGGTGGGCGGGGTTTGAGGTAGGACCCTGGCTGCTGCTGCTGCTGCTGCTGCCACTGCTGCTGATGGGGGTACTGTGGTGAGGGTGGTGGTGAGGGTGGGGGTACTTGATGTGGTTATAGTAGTTACTGTTCCAGAAAGAAGCGGGGAGGTCACGCTGGCACATCAGAGGTATTGCCGATTCTGAGGAAAAACCAGGATTGGAACAGAAATTCTGACTATCTCACGAGTAATTCGAATGCGTCTGCCGTTCAGAAAATGCCCATCTGAACTCGACTCCATCCAAGGTCCAGAGAAGGTCCAGTGCTGTGTGGAGATTTCCAGCCAGCCAGTAAGGAAACATAGGCCTCGATATATACACTGCAAAACCTGTGGTGTTAAAATCAACACTTTTTTGGTGTTACCAATGACGACTACACCATGGGGTGTTACTTTAACACTGCTGGTGTTACTTTTCACACCTATAAGTGTTTCAATACACTGGAGGGTGTTAAAAGTAACACCAATAACACCAAAATTTTAACTCCAGTGAAAAAAGTTTGTGGTCCTCTGATAACACCGGGGGTGTTAAATTTAACACTCAGTTTTTGCAGTGTACTGCTCACTGAAATTCACGTCTACTAATCCTTACACCCTGCAGATCTACCCAGTCCATCAATTTTGAAGTTAGTGCCCTTGAAATACCCCAAACGACAGGTCAATCCTTTAACAACTTTCCCCGGAACAATTCTACATGTAAATGCATCAATCGCTCAAAGTAGGAGGAACGCCCATAGTCCGATCTTAACCGATCAAAAGGAGCAATGCGACACGCACAACAGCCAACAAGAATCTGACATTTACGAAATTGTCTTTTGACGAAATTAAATGCGTAACTACAGTGGTTCAACCACTTTGAAAAAAAAGTTAGAAAATGCCGATGTCAAATCGACAAAATCTTGGCCTAGCAAAACACTGCAACCTATAAAGGAAGATTGATGATAACACAGAAAGCAATGGGTTTCCAGCTCCAGATATTTTTTCTAGCCTTAGATATATTTGTTTTCCTGGCACGTTTGCCATAGTAATAAACTCTGCCATACGCGACCCATATGTCTGACCGGGTCTCGGCGCACTTTTGCCGCCGTCGACGCAGCGGGCTAAATCCTCCCGAACACGGTTATAAACAAGGGTTATTACCACACATTCAACGCACTGTCGACAAAAACAAATGACCCAAATGACTGCCGTGTTCCTGTCGAATTAATCTGTCAAAATAAACTTACGGCAGGGAGATACAAGATGATAAAATTGATTCCCTCTGCATAGTTACTAGCCAATTCTGTTACGCGAACAAAAGGACAGTGATGTTTACAATATAACTGTTTTTACTCTTTAATTAGTGAAACTAAAGTCTTTAACTTCGATATGCTCACGGATCCATACAGAGAAGGAAATCCTATAACATGATTTTTAGGATCTTAAGGATGGCATCAGAAGAAAAAAGGGTTCCTTTCCGATTATTATGGAGAAGGATGCGAAGTTTGATCCTGACGTTTTCCCACTTTATTCTTCTATTAAAAATATATCATTGAAACAGATTCTTGTTAAAAAAAGGGCATTTTTGCGGGTATTTTTTGGTCAATACAGATGGTAAGTATTCAACGTCGATCTATCTAGTTTATCTCAATTTATTTGGTAACTGACGGTAGTTTTTACACCAGCATTTTACAATTCAGCAAATTAAGTCTCCCCCGCGGTCTCACTCACTTAAACAGCATCCCGCTGACGGATTCATTGGAAGGGAATTGCACCCTTCCTTAACAGCCGCTAAAACCAGTAAATCTGCGAAGGGTGCGATGACTATCATTTTTAATTGACGCGCCGTTATCCCGACCCGACTGGGCCGAAGTTCTGGGGCAGGTTTATTTTCACAAAGTTGTGAACATTTCATCAATGTAAACTACGCGGGGCTCTGCCTGTCACTATTAAATTTAACCACGCGCAGGCCTGACGTGCGCCCCACTCTCTGAGCACTCATCGCTCTCAGACATGTGGAAAGTAAATGGCAAAAAGTGATGGCACTGCCAGCGATTATCTTTGGAAAACAGACTAAATGTTGCATTTATCCAGGTCGTTGTTTAAATTCGACATTCTATAAAACGAAACGCACACAAGGAGACAGTTGTAGTTTTCAAGATGTACTGTGTGTGTCGTGGAGGTGGATTTTTTTGATTTTGTAACGAGTTTTGGATGGCCCTTACTGAGCATACGGCGTTATAAATTTACGTCTTTGTAAGGACAAAGTCAAGTTATGAAAACAAAATGGTGGAATTCTGTTCAGATGACTACTGTTGCCTTAACTTCTCTGCATCACGTGTTTATGACCACTGTATTTCCAACGACTTGGACATTTTTTTATTGGTTGGAGGAAATAATGGAAACCTTAGGCTTGACTGCCCTTGATGCTCTGGATTTCAGCTTCGATAGAGTTGCTTCAGATTCAAAACAAAGCAATGGCAGAGTCACAATAAATCAAAACCAATTACATCAACAGAATCTTATCTGTTAAAGGAACAGCCAGCTTGATCTAGCCATCAGATTTTGCACTGTCAACAAATTGGCGAGAGCGGTCTTTGGGCTTTTAATGCGCCATGTCTCCTTTTGACATCTCTTTTGAATTTATGGATAGGAATCGACCACTGCAAGATATAAAAGTGAAATATATGCACCCTAAAGATTTGAGGGTTAGACATTGAGAAATGTTTCCAGCTTTTCTGAATACGTCTGTTATTTGACCGATTGACCCGTTGCTCGATCTACACGTTCGAAATCAGAGTAACAAATCTCGACTATGTTTTATCTTGATCACATCCGCCTATATTGCTTCATTACTTTGACCATAGGCTTTGACGTTTCGATTAATCGTGTTTGCTTGGGTCGTCTTCCAACCACACCAAACCATATAGGTCTAGTGACCGCATCTCTGGCCTCCGTGAAACTGCATTAAGCATTCCATCACCTGTCCCCGGTCTTTATCTGGTGATGAACTTGGCATTAGCCGCGGTTGGGTCGTGTGGCATCTGTCAATAGGTCTTGGGGCCCAACAGTAAAAAGCCGGGGAGAGTCAAAAGTTCGCACTCCGGCAGGCAACACCAACACAGCGCAGGAATAAGAGTTGGTCAGTCAGTCCATGGAGGAAGGAACACATACTGACATTAAATTTGACTGTTTGTTCGTTCGTCCCCCACTGCCCAATGAAAGGACGCCAGTGACAATATCCCCCAAATTACTGTCAAGGAGTCGCCAAGCTTTATGGGTAGCTCACTGCCCCGATCTGGCAACATAAAGTTCAGTTTCCACTCGCACACGGAAGATCAGCATAATAGTGTCATCGCAAACCATTTTACCCAATTAGAGTTCTTGCGAATCGAAGCGCGCCCAAGGATTGGGGTAGTGACAAAGAGCGAAATCGAAAGGGAAGGAAAACGATAACCTGTCGTCTTTCTGAAAATTCAAGGCTGAAATGAGGGGGGGGGGGTTCCTTGACCTTCGCACGGCTCACGCTTAGAACTGACACGCCCCTTAACACTCTTGTCACGGTTCCAATATTAGCAAGGACCGTCTGGGGTAGAACAAGAAACCCGGTTACTCTGTGCTGTTCCTCCCACCCACCCACCCCCACTGGAAACCACGCACTCTTCAAGTCAACGACCCCTGTGAACGTTGGCGAATACTGGCCTTCCTCGTCCCTTCCATCCCCATATCCGAGTTTTTTGGTTTCGTTTTCTTCCGAATGGGTTGACCTTGGACTCGTTTGTTTATTATCACGACGGCAAAGAACAGATTGCTTGCTTGTAGACAGTCATTTAACTCCCGGTTCTTTCTGGTTTCTTTATACAACCCTCTCTCGTGGCTTAATAAAGTGAGAGACCTTCTCAGTACGATCATTACAAGAGGTGAAACGTATTATTTATCTCAAATTAAAACTTTAAACATATTTCTCTCTTTTTATCACGGGTTTCGTTCTACGGAAGGCTGACCCCTGCCATGATAAAATCAAATCGAAACCTGCTGTAAACTCAGAGAGTGACAGGCAGGTCCAGACTTTTTTCCCTTCACGCGTACTGTTTTCTGGCAAAGAGCACCATATGTTTCGTATTTAGCCGCATTCCTGCTTCTTCTAGGGGTTGAACCGTCTTGACATCGGTGACAAGTCAAATTCAATATTTCCTAAATTGATTGGAGGTACGAAACCAGGTCAGATCCGGGGGCTTGGCAGCGGTTTTCCATTTTGACCGTGACCGCACGCGAGATGTCACCGACAGGAACTTTAAAGGAAACGAAAGGAGGAACGATCTGCCCCCAAACTCCCATCTAAGTCGTTTCAAAACATCGCCGTATTTTAAAGGGGCAGGCATTCTGTGTATTCAACATCGGATCCCACTTACCTTAATTTTTAATTTTTTTTACAGCTTTCAAGGGCGTAAAATTCTGCCTGATTTTGTTGATCACCATCTGGAACAGAAGATTTCTTTGATCAATCTACACTTAACTTCTACTTCAATCCCGGTGATTAATCCTTTCACATAGACTTCCTATATACGGACAGCATTGTCACTATTGTATTTTTTTCATACAGGGATTTCTGGAGCGCAGATACCTATCATGAAACAATTTCAAGAACAGCACACGCGGGAAGGATTACCAACGTAAACAGAAGGTAGTGACGTATTTAGGTCAATATGGAGGAAAGGTAATGAACGTTTTGCCATTATTTTATTCTGTTTATTTTTTAGTCTATATTCAGCAACTGGGCAAAACTAAATGATGGATATTTCTACCGGCGTAAAATTGGAAAAAATATACTGATTTGTCGAGTGTGCATAACTTACCTCCATTTTTGCTATTCCACGTGCTTCCATCGCTTTGTTTACCCTGACTCCCAGTGCTGTCCCCCCCGCTGACCCCAATACGTCCATCCGGGGGAAAACTACTGGGTTGACTCAGTGCCCGACTGAAATGTTCGTCAACCACTTTGTTCAGTTCCCCGGTGTAGTACGTGAACAGCACGCACCGCGAGTTGATGTACTCCGCCTCGACCGTGGGCTCGGCCTCCTCGACGGTCGGCTTGTCCTCCTTCTTCACGCTGGCCTGGTGGGGCAGCCCGGAGGCGTTGGCCGGGGGCGAGCCGTGGTGAGAGTGGAGGGCATGGTGGTGATGGTAGAGCGAGGAGGAGTAGCCTGTCGAGGTGGAGGTGGCCGGGGGCACAGACTGAGTGTGAGGGGTGTAGCTGGGGTCATGGTCGGGGGGCTCCTGCATCTTATAGTGGCCAAACTTCTGCAAGTTTCCAAGAATTAAAAAAAAAATCCAAAGTAAATGGGAAATTAATAATATTCTCTGCCTTTTGGAGTAAGACGAGAAACACCGGTGTCGATGTAGTTTGCGTGTGACACTTACTTTGAGGTCATCTTGGGAATCAAGACATATCGTGCCAACTCCTCCGACAGACCAGACAGCACATGCGTTAGGCATTACTGCCGACGAATAAGGCACTACGAAATCTTGAACACGTGGAATGTCCATATGACATTAAAGCCACAAATCCCTTGCAGTTTACCCAGTTCGTACACATGGTATTTACTTATCCACTGCGTCATGATGTTGTCAAGTCAGGTCGGGACAAGTATAGGAGTACTCGAACACCTGCTCCAAGGAGAAGATATGCCCAGAATTCCAGCGATTTGGTTGTCTCCCATTCAAATGCAAATGAGTCTGTCTGTTCGAAGCGAACCCCCACTTAGACGGAGGCCTCTAACGCGTCTCGGGACGAATTTTGCACTGCACTTGAATGAACTCCTCCAACAAATAACAACATGTGTAAAATTCGTTGCCAGTAATCAAATTTAAAATTGAACGTCACTATTTTCTCAGCATTGTCAAAAAGGCCTATTGAGTCATGCGGTACACAACACAGGCTCAAATCTCATTCACATATGCACTTTAGAATATCATTTCCAATGTTTACAGATTTAACAGATTTGTTTTGAAGGGCAGCCAGTGTGCGCCCTCGGTACATTGTACTAACACGCAATAAGATGGGCATTGCTCCATGTCTCACAAAAATGTGCACAATTTATTTTGTACTTTGGGCATGATTTCAATGTTAACATATTACTTTGATGAAGTGTGGGTTTAACCAGGGAAATCAACGGAACAGGAACAACGAATGCAACTATGGACAAAAACAGGACCCAAATCCCGGAATCCTCAGGCGCTTTGAAACTTGACTCACCAAAATTGTTGGAAATGTGATCAAGAGCATTTAACGAAACAACAAAGAAATGCCAGACATGTCAGAATTCCGTTGACAAGCAGAAAAAAAGATTGTCAAACTTTACGAGCCGTTGATGATGGGTGCATCGCCCAAGCTGAACTTCATCTAAAATCCACAGAACGCGGATTGTTACAAGAAATATTCGGTCATTTACCACTGGAGAAACCCTCGTTGGTTTTTTTTGGGGGGGGGGGTTCACGGATTTGGTGTAATCTTACCCGCCCAGCAATTATTCTACGAACAAAGACTGGTGAAATTGTAATCGTGACAGCATTGTACATTTTAAATGGAGAGAAGAACTGAAGGTGTACTTTGAGATAGCAGCCACAGGGATTTGGTGCAAAGTAATGCGGTTTAGCCCGTACATGTACCAAGCGAGAAACACGGGTAGTGACCTTGCGTCCAATACTGAAGATTACAAACTGACGTCGGTTCGGGTTGCCCTCAATCCTGTCTTCTAGACTTACAGTGTAAAGTTTTGAAAGAATTCAACACGCAGTCACTACTTGACACACTATGCACAAACCCTCCGAGACTGGTCGGAACAATTCCCCCTGTTTTCTTATATGTCTTAGTAGCCTAAATGCTGTAAATCTTTCTTTCTCAAATTGACTTTTCATGATTCGTTATCAATTTTCTGGTAACTACGAAGACCATGGAAAGGGAAAAGTAGTGATGTCTGTTTGTTTATATGGAACTCTCGTCCCAAGGTTCATGGGGGGCCCTACCATAGTTTTAATCAACTGAAAATACTTGAGCAGATGGTGCAGGGATTTCAAGTCCCCTAAAATAGCAAAGTGCATTAGTTTACCTGGGTAAAATGACGCTGGTAGAATGGATAATGTTGGTAGGGCTGATACGCGCTCTGATACATCACGTCTAGACAGCTCATCTTCACACCCTCTGATATTCTCCAAGAAAAATAACATAAATCACAAATATCCTTGGTGAGGTTGTAGATGGTCACCTACGTCTTCTGGTGATCTCGCGCTGTCGGTATGTTAATGGGGGAATATTCTGCTGCATGCAGCCGGGGTGACCTACCAGTCAAGACTCGCGACGGCTGCTTTTCTCCTGTTGGACAGGAAGTGGATTTCTGCTGCAAGGATAGTCCGTATGGAGTAACGGATGCCGCGTAGTGTTCAGCCGTTGCGGCAAACACATGAAGTGGTCATTGTCTTGGTAATGAATTGCTGCTATCCCATGCAAAAATGTCTTGAATGTATCGTCCGGCGTTACAAATCTTTTGTTTGGAAAGTGGAGCAGGCGTGTAACCCAGTTTAGGACAGAAGCATCTCACCATCCGACGAACAAACGCACAGTCCCACTTTCCGGTTGGGTTTTGTGTTCCCCCCTTGGACTGTTTCTGAAGCCTCGGCGTCTCAGCTGGAGGGGCGAATCGCGTGCATTGTGAAATCGTCTGGGACCGGACCCTTGATCGTCCAAAAGACACGTACGCCTCGTCTTGCAATCGGTACTCGCCCTATGCGAGCGGGTGCGTTTTTCTATTCACGTCTAGTGTACGGTAGCTGCCGACTCCAGTCCGCTGGTCCCGGCATTAACACAGGCCGAGTGAGCCTATCGACCGCGCTGGCCCGGATGTCACTTGCCAAAGGATGAAACCGCCTCACCTTTGCAGCTAGCCAGGCCCGACACAAAAGTTTGCCTTGCCTGGTACGGTGGCGATGCATGAGAGCAGTGAGACCACGCCCACTGCTGCGCTGGATTGGTCGCTGGCTCATGTCCAACTCTGATTATTGTCCAGTCAGCGGGAACGTCTGTGAGTGGCTGGGTCTCACGGAGTTTGCCGTGCGAATCGGGGCCCGTCTTTCATCCATGGGGAGACAAACTGATAAAGTGACACGAGGTCAACTGACAAGGAAATCCGTCATAACATACCTCTTTTCTTTCGGCGAAAGTTAAAGGGCCGAGGCAGTCTTGACAACGACTAGACCTAACAGTCAAAATCGCTTTATGTACTAAAGAAGCGATAAGTATTTAAGTGGGCATTGCCTAACTGCAGTCCAACACTGACATTTAACCCTAACACTCCTCAGTCCTCCAACAGGTGAAGGATTGAGGAGTGTTAGGGTTAATTAACAAATGCGATAAAATTGTGGTGCCGATTCGAAATTGGGACTTAAAATCCAGTCTTATTTGCTGACTGCAGCCCTCAGTTCACACTTAACTGCATCGCACTTAGTACATATTGCTACAGCACGGGGAGTGTGTTCAAGAGAGGAGCCATTTTCATGAGCCAACTTCACCCTACATTTTGTGCCGGCGCGCCTGGTTAGGTCTCCCCACAATATCGCGCTAGCCAAATTACACATCCGTCCTTCTTGTTCCGTCTTTCCGATGGTTAGTGGTTTCAATTTTATCGTGATCAACCTGGTGGCATTTACGAAAACGCCAGGGTCCTTGCGACAAAAACACACATCAAAGGGGAAACAATGTTCATGATAATATCCTTATCAACGCGAAGATCCGTCAGTTACAGTCCAGTAAAGGTTTCCTTTTCCAGTCGAGTTGGCGACACGGTGATAGGGTTTCTCGACAAGAAACAACATTATCCGCCGCCTCGGCGGATTGTTTGGCCAACATTACAGGTAAATACACCTCTTAACACCAACCGACATCAAAGTGTACCCCTTTCGCCTGATGATGGCTGGTGATGTAAAAATTGTCAACTAAGCAAGTCGATGAACCATTAAACACTTTTAGCTGAATAAATATAGTTTCCTAATTAGATCAGTAAATACGAATGACACCCTCGTGTTTCGTTTAAATGAGCTGGACATCTAGTACATTATTGGCATAATGTACAAATTTAGATTCTGCGCTTGCATGCCAAATTTTCCTAGCATTTTTGTCAACCGATTCACCAAGCATCAAAATAATATCATTAATCAAGAACTGCCAATCAATAACCAATATAGACTGACGCGCTTTTCACTATGCTACATAATTAAGAACTGGGCAAAGCCACCGTAACGGACGATTCCGTGAGACTGTAGGCTTATGTACTACAATCTCGAAGGGAAAATTCAGACGTACGAATTCAAACTTGGAAATCGAGAAAATTCTCGACACAAAAGACATCTTTACAACCCCGGTAATTTTAATGATACAAGACTTGTACCAATGCGGTACGCGACCAGCATGAAACTATACAAGCGTGTTATTCACAAAACCTGTCCGAGGCCGACGGGCTTGTTTGGTTGGTGTCATCATGGCTTCAGTGCCTCTTGCTTGCTTAAAAGATTTCACTCCCACTCGGACAGCTGATGATTCGATGTTTTTATAATCGGCCGAGTAAAGTTCGGCGATGTGCACTGTTAAAATGGTCCTTAATGGACAGTAAACAAGACATCCAACAAGTAACAAGTACGACGCACACAGAGAACAGTCTGATAGCTTTTGCATAATTTTCTTGTGTTGGTAAAACAGCCTGGATTAGGTTATGCCGGCTTGATTTTAAGTTAGCCAAATATTGAATTATAGGCCTACAAAGCTACTCGGTGAAGATTCCTCAGTCTGTTTTTAATACAAATATTTCATTTTTGTGTACGATATCTATCAAATTTTTGTTATTACAGAGTAAACTTTGAATTTTCTTTTAAATGGGGGAAATTGAGCCCTGGATGCGCAACGCTTATAATTGCCAACTCATATTTCATGCCTTACAAGATAACTGAACAAAAACCACAGGATGGGATTTTGAGGAATCATAATGCACGCGGCACATAACGGGCTATGCACGCGGCAGCCCAGCCTGTTTTCCATTAAGCAAAACCCCTAATGATGCGGTGTTCATTTGGCTGTACGATAATTAAAGGGCACGTTGATTCTCACGGCCCAAATTCCTGTCGAGACGGACAATGCACTCCTGATTAGGCATCCTACTTGGCTGAGCACCGAGACATCACAAAAAAACAGAGCACTTGCAAGTTATATATTATGGGCGAATGTTGCCAGTGTTGACGGACAAGGCACGACTTGTGGCAGAATGAAATTGTACTGATTTGCTTAGCCTACTGCGGAAGCGACTTACACGTTGCCGACTACCGACTAAAATCTTCAAATCTATATACACATTCAGTCAAACGTGGGGAAACTTCCGTACTTACCAATTTTTTTGCCTGCCTTTAGGGGTGATAATCAAGAAGTGCGAGGTCAACTGCACCAACCCCGTCAGGTCCCTTAGTCATCACCACTTAAGACTTATGACATAGATTACAGGTACCAATTCCATTTTTGCGCGGCAGTTTCAAAACCTTTCGCAGGTTTGATAAAAATGTCGTCTGCGCGCTTTTCGTTTGATGGGGAAGGTGGTGGAAGGAACCAGTAAATGTTGATGATTCACTTTACCTTGTTGAGGATTTCTTGGTGCGACAGGTAATATTTTGCTGAAAGTCTTGAAGAACTTTCACACGAAGTTGAAGAGTTTCCAGACTCTGGGACATCCCCCATGTTGCTCAAAGCATACCAACCCCTCCAAAATGGAAGAGTCTGCTTGCAAAATCCTACATACAATGCGCTTTTTCTGCGTTTTAACATTTTTAGGTTGTGATGTGGAGATACATGTAGGTGAAATTGTGAAATGGAAAATTATCTCATCCAAATCTAGAATAGGTTCATAGCTGAAATGCATTTTAAAATCAGAAGCACTCTTTAACCATCTTGTTTGCTGTCGTTCAATGACCATGGGTTTTGTGATGCGCGGAACTGCCCAATATAAATGCCCTTACTATCTTTGAAAATAATGCCAAATAAAATAAGAAAAAAATGCCCTATCTCCACAAAACTTATAAGGAAAAAACAAAGATGACAAAAATTCACTCATCTCAGATTTTATTTCAATTACCGGCAGCAACAGGTTTTTATAAAGTGTGAAAATGACAATGCATGGTTTATAGCCTTGTAACACTCACTCACTAAATGAGAAATTTATTCAATATACTTTTAAAGACTGACCTAAGAGTACCAATACACTGCACGGTTCACCTGTGCATCAAAACTAAAATCCAAAAGAAAAAAGCCATTTCTAAACAAGTTCCCTGGAAACATAAGAGATCATGAAATGTACAAATAAAAAATGTTTTACTCAGGTTCAAGACATTAATTGGCACTGTTCTAAATCTTTCCACTGAAAATCTCAAAAGACAAGGTTCGCACTGAAACTTTTCGAGCTTTCTTTCCAATGTTAAAATTCAAACTCTGTCAACTGAAACCTGCGGTCCATGCCGTGATAAATGGATATCTGATGTTTTTTAACAACCTCACAATGATACAAGTAACATAATATTACCCATGGTAAAGAAAATATCTCCACAGTGTTTTTGCATTGTATGCACAGATTAAACCTTTCGAATCGCATCATACAGAGATGCTTGATGTTGGTTAGGATAATCAGTAGCATATAAAGATAACCACAGACTGACTTCAAGTTGACCCTAAATTGACCATAAGTAACCTTGAGTTGAAGATCTACAATAACTCACCATGAAACGGTCTCCTTAGAAATTTAGACACACTGTCTACTTTACATCAGATGGGGGGGGAAGTTAACTTTCAATGGCCTCACTGAAGATTAACCTATATAAAACCCGACCTCAAATGACCTGGATGACAGACCAACAGACCTGAGGTATATCATCTTATGCTGCCGATGAAAGGGGCCTGTCTTCAGCACAGTCTGTATAAGCAGTGTGACCTCATCTTCACTGGTCCCCTGTAAGTCCACTGCCAATGTCACACCGTGAAAGGTATCTCACATGGGCAGGATGTTCCGTTCACCCCCCTTTTGAAGTCAGGAGAAAAGAAAACATAGGGAAATTTGTCATGAATCTTAAAGCTGGACACTCTCAACAGGAGACTCATTCAAAGAATATCTTCCAAATGTGGCCTTGTCTTTCTGTCCGGTTCTTGAGCTCTGCAATCAGTTTAATATGTTCACTGTTGTAACGAGAAGAAAACAGACAACTTGACGTTCCCACTGCAGCCTGGAAATGGGGATATGTTGAGCAGGAGGGTTTTGGCTCAGGGGATAAAGGTCACAAAACTGAAGCATGAAGCCAAACGACAAAGTTGAGATTTGGGAAACACCTCAAGTAGAGGAGCTTCTGCACTGTAACTGGCAGTCTTACACCCAGGCTCCACGTTCCTCCAGAACATGGACAACATCCAGAGTTGACACAGCCTGATGCCAATAGAGAATGGCACTTCTGTCACATTAATGCTAAATTAATGGCGAGGCGCACAGCAGCAAGTCCAAACATTTTCAATTAACTCCACGTTATTAGGATCAAGTACACTTGTGCTGGGCCACATCATATGAGGCATCTGACATTATTAACGTCACCTTGATGGGTGAGATTAGAAAATTAGACCAGGGAAGGGTGGAGAGACTGATTGGCTACATTTGGATTGGTATTTCCAATATCATTTAAGCATTGACCTCTGTGGAAGCTTAATTGGTATACCCTGCCGCTATATCTTTGAGTAGTGAAGAGCTGCCAGTGGAACTGTGGGAGGTTCCACACACTGCAGGTTCGAATCCAACCCCTGGAGTTGTTATGTTTGTGTCCCTGTGATTTTTTGCCCTAAATAATTTCACTCTTATAAATGTGAACACACCCACTTTTCAGCCACAACATTTTATTTTTCAATGATTTGCTCGTCAACGATGCACTTTTCAAAGACCAGAAAAAAGCTTGATTCAGCCCAATACGGGTGAAAAAGAGGTGTTCTTCTCTCCTTCGGACACCTGTCTGAGTCCATGAAGTAAAACAACAGCTGTAACATGGCCATCTTACCTCATTACCCCCAATACATTCAGTTATTAAATGCTTTGGTGTAATTTTATTTACAAAGCCTCAGGGGTGTGATTTATGAGAAGTTTCATTTGCCAACTTCGGTTTGAGGTAAACAAAGCGCTTTTGGAATTGGCCATCTCCCCAACTCTCTCCTTCCAAATTGGCCTGGCTGCAGTTGATGCTCTAGGGCCCCCAGAGTGCTCCAGGTTCCTCTGATTTACGGGCCTTGTTTGGAGTGGCTTCCTTCATCGGACTGCCCGCACCTGTTTCCAAGGGGGGCTGTTTCCCTTTCTTTGGTTGCCACCGCCAAGAAACAGTTTTGTTCATAAATCCTGGTGCGGGGAACAGGATGGCTGGGAGAGGTACCTGAATTTAACAAAAGCCCAGTCCTTGTAAAAGATCAAGGACAAAAAATACCAGGACCTTTTCATGTACATACATGTAACTATCCAAATTGAAGCCACATTCAGCCCCCCTCAGTCCAGGCTAATGCTTATTGTGAAACAAAGAGATACCCTATTTACCAAGTTGACAGGGCTCAGGGGCATACACAACTTTATGTTTTTTTTTGGAGGGGGTGATTTTTTTGGGTTTTTTGGCTGTCATGTCTCGACCACGCAGCCTTTGCTCTTGATAGAATTCTTCAGGATAATGTTTGAGTTGAGATGCTGAAAGCATGTTTTGTTTGAATAAAACTTAAAACAAGACAGGTCCGACTAAGACTTTTCACCAAGCCCAAGTGTTACCCAACTATGTACCTCCCTCCCTTGGCAAGGTTAGAGGGACCTACCCAGAAGTGGAGACAAGGCAAGCATCTGTAGGCCCCTCCACACACAAATCATCCCGACGAAGCAGCCACACACACTTACCAACACGATTCCTTCAAAAGTCTGTATTGCATCTTGGGAACAACTTACTCATAAATTACGATCTCTGACAAATTTTACCTGGCTTCATTGTTTGTTTGTTGGGTTGTTTGTTTGTTTGTTTTATCAAACCACCACTGAAATACACAGACAAGACTTTGAAGGCAAAACTGGGCTAGACACCAATGCAAGGTTTCCATTGACCCCAATGATGTGTTGTCATTTACAAACCCCTATCACTCCTGCATAACTTTTCATCTAAGGGCATAAAACACTTAGCCTTTCACAGGATGGTGAACACTACTTCCCAAACTATACAAGAATATGTAGCTCAGGACAAAAAGATACCCATCGGTGGTGGCGGCCTGATTTCCCTGAGTATCAAATGATCGTTTTCCAATCAGGAATTAAATTCTTCCCATCTCATCACCGGGAAGAGAAAATCTGAGCAATCGGGGAAACTTTTTCGATGCCACTGGAGCCCGGAGGTCGCATACCGAACAGCCTACCGTGGTATATAACTCAAAGATTCCCCTGCCCAAACCAAGCCGACTGACGGCGGCGCGCTGCACAGCGGGACTTAAGGGGGGGTTTTATTCATCAGCTTTGGGTAATTTATAGCCACAGCACACGTGCAGCTCAGCCGAAACCAGTTCTAATCGTTTGATTTACGCAACCGTTGCAGCGGCCCAGACAGACTTTTGTGTGAGTAGTTGTGGGGGTGTGTATGTGTACGCGTTTGCATGGGGGGGGGGCAGGGGTGCTGCTGAGAACACTGTAAGCTCAGGGGAACTGGAAGCCGCTTTTACGAGGCCCCCTAGAACGATCTGTTTTAGGGTTACCGGCCATGAATTGACGTAGATTAAAAGTGCCATCTGATTGGGCCTGCTGGGGAGTGTAAGTTAACCCCCTGTCCAATTGGCCAGAGACGCTCATGACCGTCTGGCAACATGAATCAAAGTAATCTAGCCTAAAAAATGAGACCAGAATTGGAGCATAGCCTTCAAACAAATGACGCCGACACTAAAGCGGTAAAGCTCAGGACATAAATTATGCTGTCTGCGTTGATTTCGACATGTACATAATCAGAACAATTAATTTTTCTTATACCTCATCACCATGGCGATTCCGCACATTTGATATTCATGTGACATTGTAAGTTCCCACTATCCCTTCTACATCACTTTACATTATGAACTTATGAGTAAGGAAGGAGTTTCTTAGCTTGACAATCAGGGGTAGTAAAATTATACGAGGCACCCAGAAACTCAAGCCAAAGTTTCTCGACCATCCTAAATTTAAAATGTAACACTTAAAACAAGGAGGAGAAAACTTTACAAAGCAACCTTCACAGAGTTAAAGCTAGTTTCTTTGCAAGAGACAAATTGAACAGAAACGGAGAATCAGACAAAATTGTTTTTCTCCAACATGCACCTTTGGACGCAGCACACCAGCTGGTGTGATCCAAACTTATTTGGACATTAACAAAATAGATGTGAAGACCGGAACTTCGCTGTAAGAGACTTCCTGAAGGCTCCAGATTCATCTACTAGAGCACACAGTCCAATGATGGACTGGCCAGATGCGTGTGGGAGATGTGCTCCGAGATGGATGTGTAATACACAGAAACATGTTTATGTGTTTCTTCAGTGACAATTACACTTATGCCATCAATCACCATAGCCTGAGTTTGTGTATGCATCAAGCCATTCCTAAATTTAACCTTCTGGAAGAAAAAAAGAAAGCCACAAAGCCATCAATTCGTGGAAGAAGTTAATTTCAGGCATGCATGTCTGTACAAATAATTTGGAGGAGCAGATGATCTACATATTAAAGTTGTTAGAGACAAAATGTAAATTTCTGGAAAATGCCCTCGACCAGTTCCCAAAATGTTCACTATTAAAATTTACCAAATGGTTAGGAGAAAAAATTGCTACCAAACACCAAGATTTTTCTCAACAGTTTTCATCAAGTCAAACTAAAAGTTGATTCACAGTTTACAGGGATTGGCAGTGCCAATGATTGAAAGGAATGCCTTGGTTACAATCCGTCTTTCAATCGCTTGTGGACTGACTTGAGACAGGACAACTTGTAGCAGAGTTCAGATTAACTCAATCACAGCTGATCTTCGATGTTACTCTGTTTACTTGCCTGTCTTTTTAAGAAAAGACACAAACACGCTGTGGGTTTACACTCTCTCCAAAACTGAGTACAGTGTAGCCTCAATTCAAGTCACAATGCCACTCATAACTCAGCCAAGCCAGGCGTCAAGTTCAGCCCCCTAATCAAAGCAGCAAATTTCATTCAGTGCCTGCTTGGCTTCAGCGCCGGGTAATTTGCAGGGCCGCCGTGTTTATTTGAAAACCTCTCCTCCAACTAGCCCCACAGGTCAACTGTTTAGGTACGGTACAAGTGAGTGGCGCATTCCAGGCATTTTGACACCTTTTCGGTTATAAATCTTCCATATTTAGCCCTGGAAACTGCCAGGAAGTGCTTGATAGGTCGGCCGTAAACAAAACGTAATGCGCTGATGTTAAAGATGTAGCATGCCTCACTAGGATTGTCTGAACAGGACATTTGGCATGGGGTAAATGCCAGTCTCCACACTGAGATTTGTTACATGCAATTTCTCTACAACAGGAGTCAGGTAAACCCTTGGGCAGGCTGAAAATGCAGTTGTCCAAATAAGCAGGGAATAACTCAAACTCACATCCTCTTTAAATGTGGAGCATATTATGCAGAAGGGTAAAACTTGTGCAGCGATGTTGCTATTGGAAGACTTTCTTTTATTTCACAGATCTTTAAAAAAGTTCAGAAATCCCCAAAAGTTTGGCTTTAGGAAAAAAAGGGTGTGAGGGTTGGAAAAAGGAACATCTGGTACTCTGGCCTTGAGACTGCATTCATTTCAAAGGACTCCAATTACAACTCTGAGGACTCTGATTCTGAGGACTCAAGTGCTGAGGACATAGATTCCAAGGACCCTCACAGAAGACACGGATGCTGTGGACTGGACCAGAACACATTCATCAGCATCCCTTTTTCCTCTATCAAACTGCACCTGTCTCTCCCAAGTCCTTCACAAACTGAAAACTGAAAGATTTTATGATGTAGTCATGGCTACTCTGCACAACTTTTCCCCCAAAAAATTAACCCCAGTATAAAGCAATACCACCAACTAGGCACATATTATGAGATAAGCACTGGTATAAGGTTATACAGCATCCTACATTCACATAAATATCTGTACACTGTGTACTCATATTGGCCTTTCCTCCGGGGAAACCATAAACTCAACTCTCCTGAACATCAGGGCCACGTACTTCAGAAGTTTACACCTTCAACTTCCCATCCAGAACCTTTCAAAGCATTTTAAGTGTCTGAAGGTCAGGGCAAGAATGTTTCTGGATTTAGTGAGCTGGAAAGTGAGCTACTACTGTTTTACAAGAAGTGCGCATTTCTTCACATGGAACTTTTATTGTTTAACAAGTTAAGTGCTCTCAGGCTTTTTTCCTGAAACTATGTTCATTCTGTCCTGCTGTAAACCTTGCGCTTCTGAGTGGTGAAAAGCACGACCAAAATAATACCACACACTGAAAAACAATTAGCTCACTCAAAGTCCAATGATCAATATTAAACTAACCAAGACTTTGCTCCAAGTGCTGTGAGTACGTCTGCATACTTCATTAAATTTCCTGGATGAGAAATTGGGCTTTCTTGGTACGATTTCTCACAAAGTTGGTCTGTTTGTTCTTAAGAATGTAGGCCCCCAGTTTTGGGGTTTTTTTTTACACTGCTACATGTACATGACCTGCACGCTGTCGATTAATAAGACCAACTGCACCAGAACAAAACTGGAGCACTCGGCGTTCACAGAGAGAACAGGGAGATCCCAGAAGTGGCATCAAATCAATCTCAAGGCACCATACAAGAGACTGGGAAAACAGCTCACACTTCACCGGTGCCCGACCAGCCCTTGGCCCGGGGAGTCCCATGTCGGCCTGAGATTTTTCCTACCAGCCAGACAGATGCGAGGGACAATAATTTATACCCTTGGTGTCATCTTTGGAAGGCGAGGTTGGATGACGGCTGACATAAAAAAGTCTTCGGACTGTGCTCAGAGCGAGAAGCCGGCTGACATGGTTGATGTGACATGAGTTTTAAATTTGGGGAGTTTTGTCCAGGGTTTTTATAGTCGAGGGAAAGGCTGGGAAAAAAGTGAAAGTCCACGTGAGAGTTCATTATGAAAAAAGGGAGCCTAGGTTATGAACAAAAACCCTAAAAAGAGACCATCTCTTCAATTTAGTGAAGAAAAGTACCATGAATGGTACCTCTCACACACCGGTGGCAGGAAAGGGGGGGGCTGGGGGCCATCCCCCCCCCACCTTTGACAAAGTAGTTATTTTGCCCCCACTTTATAGGCTTACTTACTACCAGTTGAAAAGGTACCTTGCAACTTCATAGTTTTATTCTTTTCAGTTTAATGACCGGGGCTTCCCCCCCCCCACTTTTAAAACCGTTCCGTCGCTGTTGCTCTCACATGTACAAATATTGAAACTGGACAAGGCTTTTTCAGAACAGTTCAGTTCAGAACTGAACAATGCTGATAGTTGGGAGAGTACTTTAATGTACAAAATTGTTTGCTAAGTTTTATTGATTTACATTTTGATTCCGCAAAAAAAAAAGAGAGACTGAGATTAATAAAGGTTAAAGAATGATCATGCAAGCAAGGATGAGATTGAGAGATCTCAAACAAACAACGAGCGAAGGGAATCCAGCGGGCACAATAAAATTCCTTTGACTTTCAACAGCTAATATGACGTTTTCATTAGCCACGATGGCACAAGTTCTCTCCAAATGGCGCTGTGTGAATCGTACACTTGGTCTTCTTGTGCGAAATGGAAAACAAATAATAATTAAACCTCTGATTTTAGAGTCCCCCCCCCAAAAAAAATCCCGTAATCAGGAAGGACCCCGAGAAATCCCGCCCCTGATGCAAAGAGTGATATATACCTGTACTTTCTGACACACCAGTATCAGAGGCACAATTATCGTTGAGGGGTGTACGTGTACAACGCCGAGGAATGAAAGATGTGGGAGTGATCTGGCAAGACGAATAAACCCGTGCCGGCTCAAACTGAGATCAAGTGCCTGACAAGTTACCACTTCATTCTGTGAGACTGTGGGAGCTGGAATCTGTGAGTAGTCCTGAATGCATGCCTACAACCAGGAAACTTAGTCCATTCCTGACAGCGGTAGGGCTTGGGGTTGCCGACCAGGAATGCTGTGATTGGCACTTGGTGCAAGAGGACCCCCCCCTGCCCCAAGATGTCAAATTAACCCGGATAGGCTACTGATTTACATCAACCTTATGTAGGCCTGTCTGGTACCCAATACCAGTACCTCCCTAGGGACTATCATTTGATGTAATGAATTGGAACCCTGATCCTTAGTCTGTGGGGGGTTGATACAAGATATAATGCAATGGTTAATCTCATTATTCTAATGAAAAGAAGCACACACTGACAACTTCACATGTACAGTATGTACACGGACTGCGAGTTCCAATAATCAATCTAGTTACATGTAGCTTCAATTTGCTCCAGTAATCCGTGGTTACAACGGCAATTGTTAGTTACAACGATATATCAGTGTACATGTACAACGTGAATCAGAGGCACATTAATACCTGCACTGCTACTAGCACCTTATAATCATTACATGTACCTTATCATAATACCTTGCAAGAGATCAATACCCACTTAGGGGAGCAGTGACAGGTGTTAATCTGCTGTACAATTCTACACCACTTTGCTTAAAGGAAAGACGTCAAGACCTGCCTCAGATGCTGGCCAAGCAACCCATAGTTGTCATATCTGCAGGAAATCTTATGGACACAGAGCTGCATCCCTTTCATGACAATCAAACAAATGTGCTGGCAAACATCTGACCAATCCCACATACGTTACCTTGACACAATAACCTGGGGGTAGTGGTGGTGGGGCCCAAGCGATCGATGATCGTAAATCGACCCACAAATTTGCGGGCGCTCACATCTCTGACCATCTCCTCCGTTGTCATGAGAGAAGGCAGTACAAAAAATACAACCAGCAAAGCAGAGAGTGCTGACAAATGGGGTCAGAAATGTTGAAAGAAAGGAGACAAAAAGGCCAGACTTTACCACTGACCCTCGACCGGAAGTCGCACCCGCACTGATTGACCACATATGTGCCACTGGCCCCTTTCCTTTGACGTCCAACTCTGCTCCCCCCCTTATAAATTTTTCTCCCACCCCCATGGAAACCTCCGAGGAACTTGCTCGGGCGCCCATGAAATCTAAAACGGCCGATCCAAACAGTTTACGAAACCCCCCAAGTCTGACCTGGGGAGAATTTACAGGTTACTCTCTGCCATCTACAAGAAACACAAGCTGGCCCTCCGCCTGCCACATGGCTGGCTCCCCCCTCCCCCAAGCGAAATCTCTCTTGGTGTCTCAACCAGTATATCACGGGAAGATTGACGACCAGATTGCTAATTGAAACAATATTCAGGACATTTAATGGATGGCTTTCCCACCGAAACAAAACAAAACAAAATAAATGGCTGCGAAGGATGAGACTTTGGGGTTTTACAAAGCTGTGACTATAAACAATACCTGCATGTGCTTCCAGTGAAAACTTTGTCACAACTCCCTCCATCAGCCATCAAGTTGCATCAACAGGTTTGGTGTTCTGTCTTGCATCGCTTCTGGCCTCTTTGTCTGTGGACCTGTCGGCAGCGGTGCGCTGAGTGATATTGCTCTCCTGGGGTCCTGTCTTCTCCTGCCCGGTGTCCTGCTTCTCGCTGCTCCCGGGCTCCCTCGTCTTGGCGTCGTCCTCCAGGAAGTTCTCCCACTTCTTGATACGTTCTTCTCTCTCCTTGTCCGTCTCTTCGATCTTATAGTCCGTCACGCCGTCCCAGAGCTCACAATGCAATTGTCTCTTTGCGAACCACCTTCAGAAAGAACAGAAAACAAGAGAGAATGCAACAGCACGACAGCAGCTCTTTTCAAAGATGGCAGCATGTTACGGTATTTTCAAAAATCCAACATTTCAGAGCTGGCCCCTGAATTGGTCTTCATTCTGATATTACTTCCACATGGAGTTGGCAGACATGAGACACTGCCTTATTGGGATCTGCATCCGAATCTGAAAGTGAAAGTGTGAACTACGCCCCAACTTTCACAGTGTGAACGGCTATGAAACTGAATTACATGTAATGCAAGTCGAGCATTAGGACAGATTTGCTGAGAGATCAAATAAAAAGTGCAGTAAAAAAGGCTGCCATAGAGGACTGGTGTTTTCCTCATGGTCGACATTAATTTATTTTAGGCCGTTTTCCAATACTCGTCTTGGGCTTCAACTGTTTTTACTTCCTGACTTTGAGGTTGTAAGTGCAATAGTAAGTCTGATAGTGCCACAAAACATCAAGTCAGATGCAAAAGAGCCAAACATTACAGTACTTCTATTTAAGTTAAATGCTTCAGGCCCACAATCGAGGATTGATTTCCTACACGAAGCCTGAGACGGAGACGAATTTGAGTATTGGAAAACAGCCTTAGTATTCCTTTTACTTTCGAGACAGAAAAAGCTTTGGAACACGCTAAAGAAGGTCCAACTGCAAATTGCGTTCCCGGCAGTGTCACTGTCACCTGATGCCTTGAGTTGATTGTGCAGTACATGTACGTGTTTCAGACACCCTTCTTTTTTCCCGGTCAAGCTTGCGTTGCCTGATAATATTACTAAAAATTGGTGCGTATCCTGAAAGCAAAGGAACGGTAGAGATGACAGCCTCTTGTATGGACAGAGAACTGCACCAGTTCAAGTCAGGAGCATACATGAATATGATGTCAAGTTATTCTTGAGCTAAATGGGGTCTGTTGTTGCGGCTTTCCTACCTGCCGTTAAGGCTCTCCACGCATTTATCGGCACTTTCTACATCCTTGAATTTGACGGATGCCACGCCGTCAGGATGCCTCTGTAAGGAAGAGAGAAGGAACAGTAAAGAGTTGCCACTCTCAGTGGTCACAGTTGTCATTGTCACTGTCACAGTCTTTGCCTCTTGTCATCTCGGTCACTTCTATCATCACTACTAAAACTGCTCTTGGACTGCCACCTTGGAGACAACTACCTCACTGTCGCCATTGTCCTGTCATTGTCAAAATGCATCACTAATTTCATCATCATGAACTGTCATCGTCATCACTTCAACTATCCTCACTACAGTCACAGCTACGATCATCACCAGGACGGTCTTCAATACAAGTATTTCCTTCGGTGAGCACCTCCCAAAACTTACATCAAAAATGAGGACTTTCTTGACCTCTCCAAACTTGGAGCACTCTGACTGCAGGTCGTCTTTGATCTCATTGATAATCATGGCATCTTCCTGTGAATGGAGACAGGAATATATGAACTGAATAGAACTACACAAGTAAATAAAGTTATCCCATCCATTCTGTCCACGACCCCTCCCTCAAATTCTGGGGAGAGGACCGATGCCAGAAGCGGACGACAAGTGCACGTCGACATACAGGTACATGTAACTTGTGCGCTCAAAATAACTTACTCTCCAACAGAGTTGTGGCTGAGTGCATTTTAGACACAACTAGTACAAGAACAGAAGAGAGTTAAGAACAAAACCACAGGTGCACTCGAGTACTTTTGAAAATGAGCACACTGAGTCCAGTCCCTTGAGTCAGAGTCACCGCATGAGGATGGAAAAGTGTTTGAAGTCTCATTGGAAAAGAGCCAACCAGTGTTCAACACTGTTTTGTTTGCCATTTGCCTGTTACAAAGGTAATAAAATCATTCCTTAGGCCAAAGTGACATGTACTTTAACCCTTCCAAACACTCAAAAAACGTTTCCACTCCTTCTGTGTCATGAGTCGATTACAAATTTTCCAGTCCAAAAATACAATGTAGTGGACACACACATGTACACACTGTGCACGCACATCATCCATACACAAGCCCCCATATTTTAGGTTTTTGCCTGAAACTGATGATCTGCTTGCTCTGTTGGAGTTCAAATATACAAAAAGCTAGAAAGGAAAATCCGGGCTGCCATTAAATCTCTTTTAAAGTTTTAATGAAGGTGTGCCCTATTTCGCTGACTTCAGATAAAGCTAATTCTTTTTCTTTGAGAGTCAAGCTTGTGTTTCCTCGATGCATTCCAATCTAAAACATTTTCTTTATTGCAGCAAAACAAGTTTAACTACGGCGGACAATCCACCAGACCAGATAGCAATGACAGCCCCACTAAAATTAGAAAGCCCCGGCAATAATAACAACCCTGAAAAAAAAAGAAAGAAAGAAAGAAACCAGAAATCCACAATTGGGACCTGGAAAACAGAAGCGGTTATCTTTCATCAATAATTACCGCAGCCAAAGCATCGTGCCTGTCATAACTAATATATGGCGACTGCAGCTGCCCAATAAATCTCACCCAATTACGGCAGCAGGGACACATTTACTAGGGGGTGACTCTAAATGACGAGCGGGTTAACAAATGGAGGATTCTCGGGGGCCAGGGGGGGGAGGCCAATGTGAGCCTGAGAAAAAGAAAAGGTCTGATACAACAACGACAGGGGAATTATGATTTTTTTCCTCCGTAAATTTCTTCCTGGTTGAGGGAGGACAACGGGTGAGACTTGAAAGCTTGAAGGCTTTGTTGGTGAAGCCGGAGAAGCCACCTGATCAATCAGGAAGAATTCTGTGGAGGGATTTCCAGGGTCAAGGATCCTCAGATTTGGGAGGTTTTGGCAAAGATCACCACAGAATTGTCAACGGCATTTGAAATGATCAAACTGAAAGTTGTGGATAACAAGAAAAGGGACAAGTTTTACACAGATCCTGATCATCGTGTTGACTGGTACACAGGTCCAGCTCGCTACCAAGTTGACTGCAAACATAAGGAAACCAGCTATTTTCAAACGATATAAATAAATTGTTCCAACATTTACTGGGACACTTAAATAATCAACTCTTTCTCAATGGATAGGTATTTAAAAAAAAACCCGAAATATTCATATTTGGGACTTTGCCGTGACCGAGGTCTGTCAACCGGGCAGGAAGGACTGATTTGCTTGTTCAGTAACCTTCATGTCAAGAGCTACGAAGAACTACACGTATGAGGATTATAAAATTTAGCAAGACTCTCTGACGTAAACTTTTCATCATGCTTAGTGTTGTGTTGCAGACAGCACACCAAAGTTTCAATTAACCTTTGCACCGTGAAGGAAGTGAACAGCTACAGCGGTGAAAACAAGCGGCGAGAAATCTCCCCGCTGAAAAAAGTTGCTCCAACTTGAAGTTTGACGCAGACTCCTGCAGGAAGGCAGGCTAAAGACCACGCAACTCAGGCTAAAGGTTACTCCCCTGTACAGCTGACACAAAGGGGAACTTCCACAAACAGAGCATATATCACAAAATCTAAGCTGGCATAGGTGAAGCTTGTATTTCCAAACCATCTGGAGTAATATGGAAAACAGGTTAAAGCTGCTCACAAAAAAGAGACTTTTTTCTTGTACGACGGGAGCACACTGGAGAATTAAAATTTATACCAAATATCTGTAAACTTTGGGTTTTATTTATGACCTCCCTGGATGACGCACACCGAATGCCAGACAATTAAAGGCAATGAAAAAAAAAAGCAACTTCGTGTATCGCAGTTAAAGTTGTCGGCCCGAAAAAATTGCACATCTCGGACGTCTCTGTTTGCAGGTCCGCAATTACGACAAAGCCATCTGCATCCTGCTAGAACACACAAACAATCTCGTTCTGCAGCAGTTAAAATACAACCCATGACCAAACCCGGTGCATACACATGGGCCCATGATTAGCAATTTGCACGTAAGACAATACAAAGGAATTATTGTTTACATTTCTACAGCTGGACTGAAAAAAAAAGAAAAAGAAAAAGAGAAGGAAAGACTGGAGCTTTTCACCGCCTTGTCATGTATCGGGCTCTGTCAAACCGGGAGAGCCGAGAAGAAAAAAAAAAAAAAAAAAAAAAAAAACAGAAAAAAGGGGGAAAAAAATATTGTCATCACACGTCAATTACTCCAAATCCTCCACAGCCCTTTGAGTAACGGCCAGGCGGATCAAACACGGGAGTCTTTGTGTAAAGCCCCGGGATTTGAACAGATTCGATTGCCAGTGCCCCAGGGGTGGGAGGTGACGACAGAGACCTGTCATATTCCATATTTCTCTCTCAGTCTCTCACCTTGTTCGTTTCTTCCCCCCCCCTTCCCTCTCTGTACTCTCTTCTTTTCTCACCCCTTCTGGTTTGGCCAGGCTGGATGGATCGGGGAGCCAGGAATTACTTCCAGATTGTGGGGAGACCGATTTAGAGGGGATGGGTACCCAGATGGTAGGGAAATCTACGCACATAAATCCACTGATTCTCACGGGGTAACTAAGAACATCATTTTTTTTCAAGAGCATAAGAAAAAAACTTAACTTAGGGCATATCAGGATAAGCAACGCAAGATGATTCAATGTTTGGGTTCCTAATTATGTGAAATGAAACACGAACTGACAAATTAGGCCAAAAGGATGGAATCTCGTTCCTGGAGCAGTAATGCCAATCTGTAACTTAATACAAGTCCTATTCAGTATTGTATGTTTGTACATATAGTTTACCCTGCTTGAACCTTTCCAAGCGGTAACAGGTATTCACCAAAAAAGCCAGCTTAATCTAATGATTTCAGTTGGTGACAAGCAGGAGATCTCCACAAGTGACTGACATGTTTGTGGTTCAAATCCCACAAGAACACACCTTGAATCTTTGCAACTATAAATTTTCCATTTGACCTGCGAAACTATTTCTCTACTTTTCAGTGCAGCTCCTGTTCAGGTAAACTCTCATCTCTCGTTTTGAGCTCTAGTCAAGTAGACCAGACCAGATGTGAGCCCTCTTAGAGGCCAAATTCTGACGATTTCTGAACTACGTATGCATGACCACGCAACAACTTTGAGGAGTCCATTCCGTTGAATAATTTAATACCCTGCCACTGAAAAAGTACCATACAATGGCTACATCACACTAATTCAAGTGATAATTCATGCCAAGCTCATTAACATGAAAAGTGCCATGAAAGTTTCTTTTGAAAAAAAAGGAGATTATTTGGCCCAAAAAAATATGGTGGGATTGTGTAAATATAGCCAACTACCTGTTTTTTTTTGGGGGGGGGTTTCCATCTGAGAGCAGAGTCGAAGAACTTATAGTTCAAAATGGGAAGCTTGCAGGCTTGAGGACTGTCACTTTTCAGAAGGTGAGTTTGCTCTGGTGTGAATCTCTAAAAATGTAATCACGTGAGTTATCTAACCCATCAAAAATTGAATAGAAAAAGAAAGATGAGGGACGAGACGATAAATTCATTTTTCGTTTGAGTAGTCCCAGTATTGTCGGCTTACATGTCATTTGGCCCAGGGACTTGGTTGATTTTTACACTGTTTTTCAAGGGAAGCTTGAATTGGTGTGGTGTACCCCAATGCAAGGTACACCAGGAGTGACCTCAAGGCCTTCAAATTTGGCTTGTCAACAATTTGGATTGCCTGTACTAGTTATCACCATTTTATTATTTTTTTTGGTCAGCCCATGATTGGGTTCAGATTAAATGCAATCAGATCAGCCTTGGGAATTTGTCTCAATCAGCCTGATGGGATACTGCTGTCGTAGGGGTCTAGGGGTCGTGTCCAGATCTGTAGATGGCAGACTTTCTCTCTGAATGCGTTCTTGTAAATAAATTGTGAAAAGCAAATGCGATGACCAGTGACTTTCACTCAATGAAAAAAAAAAGGTTAGGACACACAGTGCAGGCATGCAACTGATCAGGCATCTCCCAGAACTTTTAATTTATTGTTGTTGAAATATAGAGTGAAACGTATGCCATGGAAGTAATCAGGTCAGAGAGGAGAGGGCTCAGTGATAAGTCTTGAGGGGGAGGAAGGAGTAGGACTAAATTCCTCCTCAGTGATCAAGGCCCCCCCCCAGTAACACAGATGTGTGACACCTGAAGTGTCCAGACAAATTGGCCAGCCGGGTTTATTATGCCCTCCAGGCCCCCCCCCCTGGTTTTAAAGGGGAAATCTCCTCTCCTTCTTCTCCCTCAAATCATCTCCTTGAACAGGATCTGGCTGGTTCATCTGTTTTTGCTTTTCAGATGCTCTGAACAGTCTACTGCAAGCCCTGCTTCGGTTGACAAACCAACCAGTGGAAGGGACCTGAAGGTTTTGGCTGGTGGAAACTGGGGGGAAAAAAGTGTGTGTACATTTTAGGGGGCAGCACCAAGTGCCAACTTCAGTCCAATGTACATGTACATGTATGTACACCACAGAGTCGAACGTCAAGGTCACGGAACAAAGAAAGTAGCTTTTCTGCTG